GCACATTGATAAAAAGACACCAACACATACACAGTTGACACCTATCACAAGCCTCTGTATAGTTGCTTAGTCCAGTGGAGTAGACAGAAATATATATGAATATGTATATATATATGTATATATATATATATATATATATATATATATATATATATATATATATATATATATATATATAATTATATATATATATATATATACATATATATATTTATTTATTTATATTTGTATCTATCTATCTATCTATTTATATATATGTATATATGTATATATGTATATATGTATACATGTATACATGTATATATATATATATATATATATATATATATATATATATATATATATATATATGTATGTATGTGTGTGTGTATTATAATTAAAATTTGAATAATGTGTAATGTAAAAATAAACTGGCATAATCGTTACGCCGTCAATATTATTATTTGGTTCCTGAGAAGGATATAACACCACATCGAACACAACCATCACTACCTTCACCACTGGCTTACGCTATACTTGTTTTCAGTTTTAAAAGAGAGCAGCACACTAGAAATAACCTTGTCAGCAAATTTACATGTATTTAGTGTCACATCTGATTTAATTACACGATTTAAATTACTATCTGATGAGAAATTAACTGCTTATTTACGTCAAATTTCAACGGATATTTATTCTGAAGCAATCCAATTTGCATAATTTATTGAAATTAACTTTAAAGCACGATTACAAATGAAGGTTTTAGATCTATATAATAAGTGGTTAGGTGTTTAGTCTACTCTAGTAAATATTTCACGTAGTGATCACACAGTACCAGTCCAAAATGAACAAGATAGTTTTAACCCTCGTCGTCTGCCTCGGTCTAGTCAGCTGCGCCTCGGCCTCAGTATCCATGGGATTAGGTAAGAGATTTAAATTAATTTAATTTTTTTTGTACGTGATATTAGTTACTTTTTTTTGTTTTGATCTTGTCCTTAAAGAAGAATAGAAACAACGCAAGCTGTCATAGTGTGGAATTATTTTGTGACTGGTAAGACGATACAGTAATACATAAAGAATGACTAAAGAATCTTTAGGGTTAGTTTGTATTGATCATAGAGAGTATTTGCTGTTGTTTTATCTGTATTAATGTGTACAGTGTGAGTATGGCGAGACGAGTACAGAGTAATTACTAGACATGATTTGGGGATAGTTTATGAATAAGATAGTGACAACATGAGTTGAATTCTGCATAGCAATTACAAGTATTAATCTTTAATGTGTCTAATTAGTATGCACGGAAATGTGTCTTATGCCGTACTTATCAATGAAGATATGGTGTCATCCAGACACTTGGGCAGATGAAGTAGAGCTCATCTGTTTCAAAGACCTCCTCACAAGAATGTATAGTGTGGTTAGGCCTAACGTGAGTTAGGTACCCATTAGAGCTGAGTGGACTCTGGGACATTCTTCAGACTTGAACCTGGATTAGCGGTCTAGCGCTCTACCGCTAGACCACGCCTTCACCTAAGTTATAGTGTAATTTATAGTAGTAATGTCGCAGATAAATATAATCGTAGACCCCATTACACACGCTAGAATTTTTAATTTAAAATTTAAAAGTTGGATTGCATATTTTGCCAATACATTCACCCAACAAACAAAAAACACCGTGATTGCTGTTTTTTTTAAGCGAACATGTTCGTTTTTTCACCAGGGTCTTGTCCTAAAGGAGTGAAACCAAGCAAATCATGGTACCCCGAGGGATGTCAGAAATGTGACTGTTATAAGGGAAGCTACCAATGCTACACGTAAGTCTTTTCATTTTTTTTAGTTTAAAAAGAGTTTTTGATTTACTCTTCATTTACATATGCCTTATTTCCACCACTTGTGAAATATATTAATGATACTAATAATTCATTCCAAATAAAAAATTTCGAGAACTATTACTTTCTCGTTTAAGAAGTATAAAGGAAGTATGTAATCGTGAAAAAATCGACGTTTTATACCTCCATGAGACGGAAAAAATAGTTTTGCAATTGTGTCCGTATGTCTGTGTGTGTGATGTGTGTATGCTTGTCTTTGAAAACGATAAATTAAGTACCTTTACAGATAGGATGATGAAATGTCATATGTATTAATATCGTATCAAATTTGTAGTTCGGTATCAACTTTTCAGCGATTTACGGTAACCGGAAGTGGAACTTAGTCTACTTTCGGTTTTTTAAAAGCATATTACTTAAATACTGTTTCTCTGATTGACAAAATTTCACATATAAGTAAAAGATCTAATTCTCTGTTTTCTGTCAAATGATTTGTAATTTCCAGTGCCCGAAAGTAATACTTTAATCTATTTCCGATTTCTCAGAAACTTATATGAATGAATAAAGTGCTATTGTTCCTTACTATTTTAATTTTACACGTATTGTTTGCTGTTCACTTGGTGCGTAATTCTTTTTTTTCTACGCGATTCAATTCTATTTTTAAAAGCTAAATTTTATAAAATTGATTAAAAAGCATGTCTATATCCCGAGTAGCCATCCCCCGTAGTGTTTTATAAGAATACTCGAGAAAGTTTAGGGGAGATCACTCCCGCTTCATTTTTAGGTAAGCTGTCTTAAAAAATCCTTGTGAACATATTGGTAGTGTTATTAGATTTACATGCCAGCTGCGACATGGTGGAAACATTGTGAACTGACAAAACTATATGGTACGAGCCGGCCCGCGGCATAACATACGCCGCTATTTAGTTGTTGTTTTTTCTACTTTTCAGTAATTCTTAATTTGTGAATTCGACAGTACCAACGCTGCCACTGAAAATATTTCTTTAAAACACTATAAGTTGCACGTTATGGACCCTAACACCCCCTTCCATCCCCACCCCCTCCGTCCCCACCCCCCTACGTTTAAAATCGTTTCAAACTAAATTATCTGCCCCTAATAGTCGTCACTAAACCCGACTCTGCTTGTAAACATTTAGAGTGAACACAGCTCACTAAGACCATGAAAGGGTGGGGATGGTAAGGAGCGCGTTTACAGCTTGTTTTCTAGCGTCTCCCAGAAGAGAATTATATTTATAGATGTTTTCGATCATAATTTGAGATCACTAATTCACGCTGCTATTTTATCATCTTTTTCAGATGCGGTAGCGTGAGCTTCCCACCTGAGTGTAAGGTTACCTACGACACGACCAAAAAGTACCCGGATTGCTGTGTTCCTAAACTTGACTGCCCACAGAATTAAATGATAAATCAAGATGTTTTCAAGATTCTAAACATAATCAACTGAAATTTAATTTTAAAGCTCCACTTCTGTAAACGAAAATGAAATCTAACATCTTTCAGGTTGTTTTTGAGTATATCAATTTATTTTTAGAACGTGCTCACGTGTGATATAATTAAAAAAATGTGGGGTGTGAGCGAGATGGATCTCAAACATACAAGTTAACTTAAGATCTGAAAAATGTAACTTTCATGCAATCTCTTTATTGAGACAAATATTCAAATATCATCACTGCATACTGTATTTTAAACTAGCTTATTTATATACTAGAAAACCATTATTAAACGATAACAATAGGGTATTTAAAACAAAATGTAATTTCTTTATAATAATGATTTATATAATTCTCAAACAATTAGTCCACATAATCAAAACAAGCACCAAATAAAAACCGAAATTAAGAAACAGATTAACAATAATCATAAAAACAATAATCATAATAGTCCATTATGGCTAAAATATAACAAATGAACACCTTTTTCTATAACATTATAACAAATGTTGAAATAGTTCTCTGAAAACATTTCACGGCCATGGCAATGTATATTTATTATGGCAACATATAGACGCTTAAACTTAAACATTATGGCTGTTTACAACATGGCCTGCAGTAGGCCCTACTTAAAACATGGAACATTTTTTTTTAATTTGAATAAGAGAATAACAAAATAACTACAAGTTAAATGTATCGAACCCGGTACATTTGTACATAATGCTGACTTGTAAACTGACAAGCGTAAGCCTGTTCCTAATCACACGTTGATAGATATTCGATGGTTTCGTTTGAAAACTTAAGTTCGATTCCATTGAGTCACAATTGTATAATAGTTAAATGGCAACACATGTTGCATTCAAAATACGAAGAGCGCTATTTCACAATTTCACACCAACATGTTTGTGATTGTAAGATTAACGTGTTCGATGCAGCTTTGATATGCGGGGGCCCAAGTAATTGCTGAGGGAAACCCACGAGTTGTCAAGATTTAATTATTGAACGAAGGTGGTTTGGATAATCAATTACACAAATACTAATTTTTAAAAATAACAAAAACGAAACCACCATTTGTAAAACATGTAGGCTACACCATGTGATTAATGCAACACTGTGTAAAACAATTAACTATACGTAAAATACTTAACCATATGTACAACACTTAACCATATGTAAAGCATTAGCCATATGTAAAGCACTTACCCATATGTAAAACACTTAATCAAATGTAAAACACTTAACCAAATGTAAAACACTTAACCACATGTAAAACACTTAATCAAATGTAAAACACGTAACTATATGTAAAACACTTACCCATATGTAAAACACTTAACAATATGTAAAACACTTAACCAAATGTAAAAACTTAACCATATGTGTGTGTATTTTGTTTACACGAGACGTTGAATCCGATATCAATTAGGTGGAAGAAATTTCAAGTGAAACACCCACGCTCATATACGCACACACAAACACAAACATACCAGATTTTCATAATATGAATCGATGTTTGCTTTTTGAGAAAGCAGCATAAAAATGTCAGCTTTAATAAACTAATACATTATTAATGGTTCATTTCGTTCATACGTTAATCCTTACTTCAATTACACTTTGAAAATAATCCGTCCGTTTTTTATGCCCAATGTCAATATTTAGTTAATTAAAATGTTCGGATTAGCATAATTTATTTAAGTTAATTTTAGAAAGTGATAGCTAACTTAGGCCTATATAATGCGTGGTTGGGGACAATATGATGTACAATCTACACGAGCAAATATTTCATGCACAGGTCATTCATTGTCAGACCAGTCTCAACATGAACAAGATAATTATAACTCTCGCCGTCTGCCTCGGTCTTGTTGGCTGCGTGTTGTCAGCTGTTATGCGGGGAAAGGGTAAGATTAATTAATTATACGAGCCGATCCGCGGCGTATCATACTAGAGAGGAAGAGAGGAGACTGCAAAGCGCGCTTACAGCTTGTTTTCTAACGTCTCCAAGAAGAGAAGTAGGCCTATATATATATATATATATATATATATATATATATATATATATATATATATATATATATATATATATATATATATACATATATATATATATCTAATATATAAAGCTCAGTTCTGTATGTAATGCATATGTTTGTCGTTGGTCTTGCATTAATTTAAGTGTTAGAAAATTATCGTGCGCATTTGTCTAAATTTATGAGCTAAAAAATTACTATTGAAAGTGTTGGGAAATAATTTTCATTTTTTCAAATTAAAGTAATAATTGTCGGCATGTTCATTCAACACAAGTTTTAAAAAAATATCATCTTTTACAAAAATTCTAATTATGTCTTTATTTAGTCCTATAGCACTTACTTCCCTTTGATAAATTAGGAAAACAAAATTACTTCCCTTTATAAAACCATTGCATTTTGTGGAAAATAATTTACTTTTTAATTACTTTGTTTTGGTGTTGGGAAAAAAAAAATAATTACATAATTAGCGGGGATTGATCAAAGCAAATGTTGTAGGTATTTTACGGATAAGCTTGGAGTATTAAAATTGTTCATTAAATTGAAACAGGCGCGTTCGTTTAAGTGAGTGCAAAAGACTATGAATAAGTTGGGGTACTATAGTCGTTCATTAAGCTAAAACAGGTGATTCCGCCCCGGGCGTTTATGTTCGCGTTAGTGTTTTCTTTGTGTTTAGGTGGGTTTGCGTTAGTGGTTGCGTTTTGATTTGGTTCGTTTTTGTTCTTTCTTTTTTCGTTTTTGTTTGTGTTTTTTTTGTTTGGGTTTGTATTTGTGTTTTTGGTTGGTTTTGCGTTTGGATTTGGTTTGTTTTCGTTTGCTTTTTCGTTGTTTTTTTTGTTGGTATTGGTGTTTGTGGTTGGGTTTGTTGTTAGGTTTTAGTTTTCGTTTGCTTTTTTGTTTGTTTTTTCTTTGTGTTTGTATTGGTGTTTGTGGTTGTGGTTGGGTTTGTTGTTAGGTTTTTGTTTTCGTTTGTATTTGTAATTGTAATTGTGTTAGCGTTATGTTTGCGTTTTGTTGTTTTGGTTGGTTGTGGTTTGGGTGGGCAATGCCGGGTTTATGATGATTACTAAAGACAAAGGTAACGGTCTTTAACAGAAAGGTTTTTCACAGAAGCCAGAGCAGGGCCTGGCCGGGACGGCTAGTATATATATATATATATATATATATATATATATATATATATATATATATATATATATATATATATATATATATATATATATACATAATATATATATATATATATATATATATATATATATATATATATATATATATATATATATATATATATATATACATATATATATATATATATATATATATATATATATATATATATATATATATATCTATATATATATATATATATATATATATATATATATATACTTATATATATATTTATAATTATATATATATATATATATATATATATATATATATATATATATATATATATTCTTTAATGTGTCTAACTAGCATGCACGGAAATATTTGTCTGATGCCTTACTCATAGTATAATCCAGATGCTTTGGGCACATGAATTTATGTTTAAAAACTTCGGCTTTAGAAAGGATAGTGTAGTCAGGACTAACATGAGTTAGGTACCCAGATGTGGACTCTTAGTCATTCTTCTGAGTTGAACACAGATTCGAACTCGAGACTTTCAGTTTAGCAGTCTAGCTCTCTCCAACGACTTCACATAAATTATAGAGTAATGTATAGTGGTAATGTCGCGTATATATATATATATATATATATATATATATATATATATATATATATATATATATATATATATATATAGATATATATATAGATATAGATATATATATATATATTTATATATATATATATATATATATATATATATATATATATATATATATATATATATATATATATATATACTCGTAGACACCATCACACTCGCTAGAAGTTAATTTAAAATTTAAAATTTCTCCAATACATTCACCCAACAAACAAAACCACCGTGATTGCTGGGTTTTTTTCAACCGTACATTTTCTTTATTTTACTAGGAGCTTGTCCTAAAGGAGTTAAACCAGGCAAATCGTGGTACCCCGAGGGATGTCAGAAATGTGACTGTTATAAGGGAAGCTACCAATGCTTCACGTAAGTCTATTCATTTTATTCTAATTAAAAAGAATTTAGATTATCTCGTCATTCACACATGCCTTATTTCCACTACTTGTGACATATGATTCTAATATTTTATTCAGGAAGAAAAGTTTTGAGAATTATTACTTTCTCGTATACGAAGTATTAAAGGAAATATTGAAATCGTGCAAAAAATCGAATTCGAGATTTTCAAAAATCTCGACGTTTTATACCTCACTGAGTCGAAAAAACTTAGTTTTGCAATAATGTGACCGTGTGTCTGTGTGTGTATGTGTTGTGTGTGTGATGTGTGTATGCTTACCATTTAACACGAAACATTGAGTGCCGTTACAGCTAGTTTGATGAAATGTCACATATATATATATATATATATATATATATATATATATATATATATATATATATATATATATATATGTATATATATTATATATATATTAGTATTATATCACATTTTTAGTACGGTATCAACTTTTCAACGATTTCCGGTAAACGGAAGTGGAACTTAGTCTACTTTCGGTTTTTCAAAATCATATTACTTGAGCACTGATAGACAAAATAATTTCACATATAAGTAAACGATCTAATTCTCTGTTTTCTGTCAAATGTGTTGTAATTTCCGGAAGTAGTACTTTAAGCTATTTTCGATTTCTCAAAAAGCTATTTGAATATATAACATACTAATGTCCCGCACTGTTTTACTCGTATTGTTTCCTGTTAAGTTGGTTCGTAATTCATTTTCCTTAGAGATTCAATTCTATTTTAAATATTTAAACATTGATTAAAAAGCATGTCTATATCCCAAGTTGCCATCCCCTGTAGTGTTTTATAAGAATACTAGCGTACCCGACCCCCGCGCGTTGCCGCGGATATAGAAGAAAGTCTGACGAAATATATTAGAAGGATATCACCAATGCATTACCAATCATATGTTGTTAAACGCGTGTCCTTCTTTTCTAAAACTGTGTTATTTAAATGTAAACAATGCTTGCGCTTGGATAATAATGATCGGGACACGGGTTTTCCTTGAGTTCACATTAATCACTCATCGAAATAATGAGGTAGAACACACTTCGGTGACCACCCATGTGTCAGGGACGTAGAGGGGCGCTCTCAGGAGCCCCCCAACCCCCGATTACACTATCGCATAGGCGTAGCGTACGGCCCCTGTCTCCTTAAAACTAACAGGCGCCATCGTGCCAAATAGCATCCTGTTAATAATGATGCAGATTTCGTCATTCGCTAAAGTGACACAAATAAACAGAAATTTTTGTTTAACACGTAAATAAATTATTTGACGTGTTTTAAACATCAGTGTGACTGATGCAATATGCTAGTGTTACTAATGTTCTATTATTAGATGCTCGATCTCAATTTTTGACTGAGTCGTCTAATAAGAGATGCTTATTGCAGCATTCGCAAGGTGACGAAACTCTACAGTAGGCTGATAATATTTAAAAAGTTATTTTTTCATCTTTCGCAAGGTGACGAAACTGTACAGGATTTCCTCGCGTTACAAAGTTATTTTTAAGAAGCCTGTTGTTGTTTTACCGCTGAATATAGTAGTACCACTTACTCGCTATGCAGGACGCTCGATTAACGGATGCCAAGTGCCAACATAGTCGCTCTAATACTCTGGGCGCCAAACCGTGTATTGACGAAAGTTGTACCCTATATGGCGCCGCCCATAAGAAACTTTAGTTTTCTTTTTCGCAGAAATATTCTCGGGAGTATTCTCATCTACTCCCTAAAGTTTCATGGTACTCGGATGAACCGCATCCGAGTTTTATTTTTTATAAACCGTGTATAGAGAAAAAAAAAATCGTCCCCCCCCGGGGTGGCCGCCCTTGCAATATTAAACAATATTTTTTGCAGAACCCTACTATTGAGTGATCTAATCATCTCCCCCAAAGTTTCATGGTACACGGATGAACGGTGTGAAACCGAAATTTTATAAACCGCATATAGAGAAAAATCGCACCCTCCCGTGGCGCCGCCCTTGCCAAATTACTTTTTTTTTTTGCAGAACCCTTCCTTAGAGTGTTCTTATGAACTCACCAAAGTTTCATGCTTATTGGATTAACGGTGTCAGACCAAAATCGAGTTTTATTTTTATATAGCTTACATTGAGAAAAATCGCACCCTCCCGTGGCGCCGCCATTGCGAAATTAAAAATTATTTTTTACAGAACCATTTTCTAGAGTGTTATAATGAACTCCCAAAAGTTTCATGCCTATCGGATGAACGGTGTCACTGCAATTACTTTTATTATTTTTATATACCGTATATAGAGAAAAATCGGACCCTCCCGTGGCGCCGCCCTTGCGAAATTAAAAATTATTTTTTTATACAGAACCCTTCCCTAGAGTGGTATAATGAACTCCCCAAAGTCTCATGGCTATCGGATGAACGATGCCAAACCAAAATCGACTTTTATTTTTATATACCGTATATAGAAAAAAACAAATCGCGCCCTGTCGGGGCGCCACCCCTGCGAATTTGAAATATTTTTTTCCGCAGAAACCTCCCCTGGAATATTCTCAACAACTTCCCAAAGTTTCACGGCGATGTCATGAGAGGTGTAGTAATGCATAAAGGACAGACACACAGACACACAGACACACAGACATACATTGCTTTTTATATATATAGATTCGAGAAAGTTTAGGGGAGATCACTCCCCCTTTTTTTTAGATACGTTGTCTTAAAAATTCCCCATGAACGTATCGTTAGTGTGCTCCTATGTGAATTGTTATTAGATTTACATGCCAGCTGCGACATGGTGAAAACATTGTGAACTGACAGACAACTTGAGATCACTGATTCACCCTGCTATTTTTACATCTTTTCAGATGCGGTAGTGTCAGCTTCCCGACTGAGTGCAAGGCTACCTATGACACGACCAAAAAGTACCCAGATTGTTGTGTTCCTAAACTTGACTGCCCACAGAATTAAATGAAAAATCAAGGTGTTTTGAAGATTCTAAACACAATCAACTGAAATTTAATTTTAAAACTCTGCTGTAAACGAAAATTAAATCTAACATCTTTCTGATTTTTTTTTGAGTTTATCAATTTATTTTTAGTACGTGCGCACGTGTGATACAATAACAACGTGGGGGTCAGATGAATCTGAAACATAAAAGTTAACATATAATCTGCAAAAGTAAGGCAAACATTTAAATAGCGTCAATCTAGACTGCATTTTAATCTTTCTTTTTTTTCCCTAGAAACCCCTTATTAATCGATAGTAAATGAAAATGTAATTTCTTTATAATAATGTAAATGTTTTAAATAATTAGTTAACTTAATCAAAACAAAACCAAATAAAAAGCCGAAATTAAAAAAAAAAAGAAAACAATAATCATAAAAGTCATTTATGGTTAAAATATAAAAAAAGAACTTTTTTCTTAACATTTTCACAAATGTTGATATAGTTCTCTGAAAACATTTCACTGACATGACAATGGATAATAATTATTGCAACATAATTATGGTGCATAAACACTACAGCTCTTTACAGTTAGGCCGGATGTAGGCCCTACTTAAACCATGGAACATTTTTTTAAAAAGTATTTTAACATTCACATTAAAAGAATAAGAAAATAACTACACGTAAACTGCATCGAACCCGGAACATTTGTACATAATGCTGACTTGTAAACTGATAAGCGTAAGCCTGATCCTAATCACACGCTGATACATATTCGATGGCTTTGTTTGATTTCTATGAGTCACAGTTAAATAATAGATAAATGGCAACACATGTTGTCGGAAAAACATAGTTTTGCAATCTTGTCCGTGTGTCCATAATTTTCACATTTTTCCATAATTCTCTTCTCTCTCTCTCTCTTTCTCTCTCTCTCTCTCTCTCTCTTCGAATTTTATCCATGTGAGGCACGAACCCTTTACGTTTCTTTGTTAAACTTACATAAATGATTTTAATTAAAAAAATAATTATCATTAAAAAAGTTTTAAAAAAAACCACGTTTTCTGATTGAACTAAAAAGTATAAAATAAATGCTAAACATCACAATAATGCAAGCGATCACTCTACTATAAGCGATGAAAAACGTGGGGCGCCGAAGTAAAAGTTATATTACTATTGATTAGATAATACTATTGACTTTTATTAGGGAGCTTGTAGAGAGTCAACTGTATTAGAAACTGTAAGAAAATCACGGCGCCCAACGTTTTTCATCGCTTATAGTAGAGTGATCGCTTGCATTATTGTGATTTATAGCATTTATTTTCTACTTTTTAGTTCAATCAGAAAACGTGGGTTTTTTAAAACTTTTTTTAATGATAATTATTTTCTACTTTTTAGTCTTTGTCTGTTTGTTCGCATTAAAATCTTGCTATCGATTTTATCTTTTCGCATTCACTTTTTTTTTGGGTAAACGAAGACAACTCGTAAAAAACACGTGCCTTGAACCCGTGTCGAGTGGGTTAGCAATCGTGTGCCCAACCACTCGACCATATCGTCTCCCCCATACTGTTCACCAGTTGTTCCGGTTGTTTGTACACAAACACCGCGTGACCAAAAACTCCGTAAGCCAAAAGAGGGAGAGTACCGAACCTTGTTTTCATCAAATTACAATGACTGGGTTATGTCCCCTTTTCCCACGTTTTTTTGTACAAATATATAGTGGTCTAAAATGATCAATAAAATGTTTCCATGGATCAATTTAGTAATAATAACAATTGAATATTCTATTGTCATCGGAAACAAAGCTTCCCTGAAAATTTCAACGCGCTAGCTAACTGGGAAGTGCTCCAAAATTTCGATCGCAAGATTTGATGGAGAACCAAACAAACAAACAGACGCAAAAGCAAGTTAAATAAAACGTGGGAATAAACTATGTAAAACTATGTTAGATTTAAATATTTTATTTATTTTCAATGAATTTTTCCCTTGATTACGTTTTAAAGTACGTAAACAATTTCATCTTCATTTAAATCCGATGGGCAATCAAGGGTAGGATCACAGCAAGCAGGGTACTTTTTGGTGTAGTCGTAGGTCACCGTACATTCAGAGGGAAAGTTGGCGACTCCGCACCTGAACAGCGGAGAAAAACAACAAGGCGTATAGTCGTACTCAGGTTATTGATGTTGGGCTATGGTAACACTTAGTAATGTCAGTGGCGTCACAAGGGCATGTGTCACCCGGTGTGGTAATTGAGGGTGTTACCCTACCCCGTTTCCAAAAACTTCGCTTGCTTTCAATATTCTACCATAGTAACTGGTTAAAGCATTGTTTAGTAATTACATTCTACTATTTTTTTGTTTATTTGGTTTTACCCTCTAAATGGTGTCACTTGGTTCCGACCTTACAAACAACCTACGACTTGTGAAGCTACTTCTTTAACCCTCCAAAAGCTACATTGTATATTCAATCACAATTCAGCTTTGTGCAAACAATTGCAATTGGGTCGTTATGAAATAATATTGATCATTTTTTTATCAATAAATTTCCTCATGGTTTTTCTAATGAAGTATTATTATTACGTTTACTTATATCAAAGAACTGTCGCAAATCCAAATTTTGCAAGTCGAGATGTTTGATTACATAAATTTGAGTAAATGACACATGTCGCGAGTCTTAAAAGTAATGAAAATTGAAACCCAATGTTCGCCTTGTTCAGGACACTTGCCTGGAATTTAAAAAAATAAACCGGGAGTGATCTCCGCTAAGCTTTCTCGAATTTTTTTTATATGAAACAACAGGGGATGGCAACTCGGGATATAGACATAATTTTAATCCATTTTAAATACTTAAACTTTTTAAAATAGAATAGAATCTCGTAGAAAGAAGAATTGCGCACCAAGTAAACGCCAAATTAAATGTTCATACTAGTGTAGAATATTATTAGTAGTTTATAAATTCACATGAGATTTTTGAGAAATCGGAAATAGCCTAAATTACTTCTTTCGGTCAACGAAATTACTCGAAATTTGACAGAAAGCAGACAATTAGATATTTTACTTACATGTGAAATTGCATTTATCTATATACAATAGTACTCAAGTTATAGGCTTTTGAAAAATTGAAAATAGAATAAATTACACTTCCGGAAATCGCTGAAAAGTTGTTTTGGTCCACAAACATTTCTCAAAATTTGACAGAAGGTAGAAAATTTGAGCTTTTACTTTTCATCTTCTTACTTAAGAATTTTTATCACAATTACTGTTATCTAAGAATATTAGAGGAAGTTTAGGGGAGATCACTCCCGCTTTATTTTCTTGAATAAACTTACAACCAAGGTTTCCCCTAAAAACAATCATAAAATTCTTATATTCATGAATGAATTAAAATATAAATTAATTCAAATAAATGTAATCAGAAGACAAGAATGGAAAAACATTATTTTGTTAACTTTATATTACTATCACTATGGAAGTAAAATTTAACACGTTTGATTGGCTTTCCAATTTTTTTTTATAAAACTGCACATATTGTCGACATTGCTAAAGTTCTATTTTCAAGTTCACCTTTAAACAAATAAGAATTTTTAACACCAATTTGCTAGAGGATTGATCGGGAATCAGAGGACACGCGAGAAGTGAACTAACTAAATTATAATGGAAGATTGGTCAGTGCACTACACTTTGCTACGACAGTGGCCATTTGACAGCTTCACATAAGATGTTGCAATATTAGCACGATAAATCTTTTACATTATTTTAAAAAGCTGGGCTTACGGGTAATTCTGTAAATACATGTAGCAATACACTTCGCAACTCGTCGGAGGTAAGTTTTCAAGATGTGTTGAAAATGTAATCTACTATATACAAATGAAATGGGCTATGTGTCTACGTATGTGTGCATGTAAAATGTATGCGTACGGAAGGCATGCATATAATAAAAAACTCAAAAATTAAACTTTCACAGGCAGCGAGAACGACGTCACAAGAAACTAAGAAGAAATCTATATATATAAAGCAAAGTAGTCGGGTACCCGACAGGGCACTTCCCGGCGTCGCAGGTGCGTCAAATTTTGGCAGAATCCTGCCTTGGGTCAATAGAACACGAGGACAGGTGCCGGTTGGCCGAAAAATTCACGAAGAGGGGTCAATAGGTGACCTCGACTGACCTCGACTTTGAATACGATGGTATTTTGTTCAATTTCTGGTTTCTTAAGTACTGAAAACATAAGTACCTTTTCAGGTAATTGGGAAAAATGTCATAAAAGGTTAAAATATTATTCTTTTGAATCCTCTGAATCGTGGGTAATTTCCAGTAACCGAAAGGGGTACTTTACGGGATGTCTGATTTTAAAAGATTTTAGAATGTATTTACGATATAAAATCATCAAATTCTGACGGTTTCTGAGAAACTGGAAAAGGAGTAAAGTGTCCCTTTTTGATTACCGGAAATTATTCAAATGTTGATAGAAAAATAGGTAATTTTTATACATACTGTTTAGTCACCCTAAGAGTACTAAAGTTATAAGTTTTTTAGAAAACAAAATTTAGGATATGTCAAGGAAATCAAGAATTTAAACAAATTAATCCAGTTATATAATCGTGGGCTTATGTATGACATTTCATCTACCTGAATAAAGTAGTATTCAAGTTATTTTATTTCCATAACAATAAAGCACTCCTTCCGGTTACCGGAAATCGTTAAATAATTCACACCAAAAAGCGCATGCATTTTAAAACTTACGTGATAGTTTCTTTCGTCTTCCATCATCACAGCTTCAACAGCCTGTAAATCTATAATTATTACAGGAGATAAAAACCATTATTACAGATGCGACATTATTGTATGGTGTCGTAATGTGCTATGAAAGTATTAACAACACGATTTTGCATTCCCAACATCCTAGTTAGGAATGTACAATTATTTTACATAAACAATAAAGTATTAAGTAGATAGATATAAGTAAACCTTATCATACCTGTCGGACTACGTGTCAGACGGTTGTGTCAAAAGGTATGTAAATTAATTTCATTTCTAGCTTTTAGATCACGAACAACTTGTTCTAAACATTTTAGTTAAGTCGCAGTTGAATAAGGTAATGATTCACTCGGCGACACCTGTTCGATTGAAT